ATATTTTTATAGGTAAAACATACCAGTACAGTCAGTAGTGCTACCATTAATGAAATCATATCCATCATAACATTCACAATTAAAGCTTCCAGGAGTATTAATGCAAGTTTGAGAACAGCCACCATTATTATCCTCACACTCATTGATGTCTGTAAATAAGTCAATATCGTGTGTATTGTACTAATGTATTATACCAGAGCAATTCTCAGCAGTAACTGTCAAATTATAATACCCAATCTTACAGCTACAGTAGTAACTACCCATAGTGTTGGTACAGGTTTGATTACAGCCTCCATTATTATCATTGCACTCATTAATATCTGCAGCAATATGTACCTATGATTAAATATACTTTTACAATTAACACACACACCTGAACAATTGTGTCCATTGCAAGATAAAGTATATCCATTTTTACATGAGCAGTCATAAGATCCAATAGTATTACTACAATAATGATCACAACCACCATTGAACAAGCTACACTCATTAATATCTACATAAAATGCATAATTATTCTGATAAACACAGGCTTGTTATACGTAACTTTACCTTCTGTACTACACCTTCTATTAGTCAGGTAGGGCAGACTCCGCCTGACTAACCTGTCCTCACATTCTTCAGTATTATTAGAATCGCATTCATTAATATCAATGCATGTTACTCCATCACTGTCTAATTGATAGCCAATACCACAGCCACAAACATAACTACCAATAGTGTTATTACACAAATGAATACAGTCAGATGTTCCATCCATACATTCATCAATATCTTTTAAATAAATAATGGCATTTATACAACAATTTTTTGCATACCGTAACAAGTTGCATTGGTTGTGGTATTCAATTGATATCCAGAATAGCAATAGCAAGTGTAAGAACCATCTGTATCAGTACACCCTTGTTGACAATTATCAGTATCAGTTTGACATTCATCAATATCTTGTATCAGACAATTAATCAATGGTATTAGAGTGACCATACAGTACTTACTTTTACATGATATTTTATTGGCAGCTAAAGCATAACCAGTATTACATTCACAATGAAATGAACCAGGATCATTGATGCAAACATGATCACATATAACAATTTCCTGAGCACATTCATCATGATCTGTAAATGATCATGAACATGTAAATAAATAACTAAACATAATATTCTAACCTATACAAGAATAACTGTCATTGCTTAAGCTGTACCCATACTCACAACCACAGTAGTAGCTACCTACAGTATTAAAGCATGTCTGGTTGCAGTTAGATACACCATAAGCGCATTCATCTAATTCTAAAGATGTTGATTAGAACTATTATACTGTAAATATGAAATATACCTGTACAAAATCTACCTCCAGTGTAACCTGTATTGCATGAACACTCAAAACTTCCATCAGCATTTGTACAAATATGCTGACAGCCTCCATTATCAACTAAACACTCATTAATATCTAATATTAAGTTACAACAAATTTCCTAATCATTTAAAACTATTGTACCTGTACAGTTTTTGGATTCACTTCCAACAAACTGATACCCATCATAACATTCACAATG